AAGCTGGGAGGTATTTTTTTTTTTTTTATGCTTTTACAAAATTTTCAGATCTATATTACATTTTATAGAAAACTAATTTATTTAGATTTTGCATTGCAGAGTTGGTACCAATGCTTTCACTACAAGAGTTAAAGATCTCTTCAGTGGCAAAGCAGAGCTACTTTTGGGTATTAATGCATGTTTACCAAATGGTTTAAAGATAACACTCAAAGATATTCCGATCAAAGATCCATCAAAGATTACCTTTAGTGATGCAAATCGATTTGTTGGCAAGGTCAAGGTATGCAAAAATCTCATAATAATGATACACAATTCGATTTACGATACTTTTTTTTAATTTGTATAAACATTGTTTATTATTTGTAGGCAAGGTTTCAAGATGAAGATCGTACATGCACATCATTTTTGAAAACTCTGGAGTTGTATAGAGAGAACAACAAGACTTGTCTTGAGGTTTACAATGAGGTATATATTGGTGTAACTACATTATGTATAATTCAAAACTTTTATTGTTATTATTATTATTCTTGTATTTGATTTGATGATATGTTGGTTTTGCAGGTGACTACTCTTTTCCAAAACCATGTTGATTTGCTTGAGGAGTTTTGTCTCTTTCTCCCTATATCTTAAAGAAGATCAAATCTTAAGTTCTATGTGCAATGATGTCTCTTTGTATCACTAGTTTGTTTTGAATTGGTACTACAATTTCTATTGAAAATTTTTATCTTATGAACGCATAATTTAATTTTAATTTTGGTTACACAATTGTTCACAACAAACAAAGCTCTATTCTCAGTAAATGGATTCTTCTGAAACCTCCGTAAGAATTATGAACATACAAAAAATTTTAGCCCAAACTTTACGAACACTTTTTTCTAAGACCTATTTTGTAGTTATTAGCTATAACTCTATATTATTATTATCCTATTAGTCAAAGAGTGGTTTTCTAATTAATGTGTGACTGAAAAAAAATATTGAATAGATTTTCCCTATTAAGTAAAATATCAAAATTGCTCTACATAGTCTTTATTTTATTTCATTTTTGTTCGACTAAAAGTTTAATAACGATTTCTCTAGATCTTGATATACATGGAGAACCAAAAAATTAGATTCTATATATGAAGAAGGAAACGGTTTATTAGTTATAACAACATAGCTTACTCGCAAAAAGACAAAATAACCATACCGCCAAATTTAGGAGGCTAAGACCAACATTATTGGTGGGATCTAAGCATTAGATTTACACTAGAGAGTATCCTTTATGCCTAAGATCCCACCAATAATGTTGGTCTTAAGATCTTTACTTATGACACTTGGATACCTTCCGAGAGAGAACAACTTTTTGCAACATATTAATACACTAACACATGTGTTATAGCCCATAAAGACCACCTCAAGGCCAAAATGATGTTCAGACAGAGATTGGCAACTACTTTGCAGAGCTTGCTCAGAATGTTCATGCAAAAGATAAATAGGGATATTCAATAACAAGGACATCTATGTGGAGATTAAACCTAAACCCTAGATCCCAATACACTCATATTGTTAACCCTATCACTCAAACCGATTGAATACATTCACAATCTCACTAGAAACCCTAAAATTTCATACCCTCAGGTGATGAAGTAGAAGGACATGCAGAAGATTGGATATGCGAAAACTAACCTTCTCAGACCGATTCGCTCACTAGTGGAGCTCGCCGTTCCCTTGCGCAGTCATTATCAGACGCCGTTGGAACTGAATCATCACTTACATCGGATTTTCGATTTCAACCGGATCCAAACTCATCTCGATCTCAGACACGAAGAACTCTCATATTTTACTACGAAGAAATTAAACGATTGAAGGTCAATCATTTGATTTTGCTGGAGAGATGTGAATCGGCTCTGATTTCGCCGCACAAGGTCGAGAGAGAGAAGAAAAAAAAAATTCGGGTGAAGAAGAGAAAAATGGGGAAAAATATGTTTCTTCGTCTATATTCTCAACATCCAATCACATGGAGCCACGATACGGTCCTAATCGTTTCTTCGGTTACCTGAAGCAGAAACGATCCTCCTCGTTTTGGGTCCTCTTCAATGTTTTCCCATTTATTACAGGCCCACAAAAACGATACGTACCCTTAAAAGGCTTACCAGTGGAGAAGCTTTAATAGGTAAATCGCATGGGTGTAGGGATACAATAGACAAAAGAAAGTTAAAAGTAAATGTTGCACATTGCTCTTGCAAACGTTTAATCATGGCTCCGAATAAAGAAAGTAGATTAGGCTAACGATTGCTTAACTCCTTTTAACCCAAGTCTCTCTTAGAGAATTAGGTTAATAGTTGGAGCTTAATTCTGATTAATGATTTCGAAAGTCTTATATAGACTCTTATAGACCGACTTAAGTATTGTGAAGTAAGTAAAGTATCTAACTCTCTTAGTTTTGCATTAAAAGGATATACTTAAAAGAAAGATTAAGAAGCTTTTCAACCATGATGCTTTCTATGACGATACTCGATATATCTTGTATCACAAAATATAGTTCGTTTATAACTCTCAAAGAGCATCTAAACAAAATTGTGCACCAACAAAGGTAACTAACTAGTCAAATAAAACGAGGAAGGAAGTGAATAAACAGGAGAACCAATTAAAAAATGTTGTCTCAAGAATTAAC